CGCGGGTTGCTGGGCGTTTCGAGCCGGCGGCACAACTAGCAAGATTTCAAAGTGAAATTCCGAAAGAAATTTAAAGAGCATCCGGATCCGGAGAAAGACAGAAAGAAAGAGGAAGGGAGAAATAAATCAAAACGTGGAGAGAATCCCAGCTGAAGAGAGGACGGGCGAGAAAGGAGCTGACACCCAGGCGGAGATGGGGTGAGACTGCCGGTTTATTATTCTTGAATTGCTTTTGTTGTTCATGGCCGCTGAGCTGTTTTTAAGGTAATTGCAAAAGAAATGAAGGTTTTAAATTGCATTTTTTTCCACGTTGCAAGCTTTAAAGTTTAGACTTGCTTTTTATTTTGTGGGTTAGAAAGTAGGTAATTGCAAGCCTCTGCAACTTTTAAAAGTAAACTCCTACGTAAAGGAAGCCTTTAATAATCTGTATGTTGTATGGAGTGCAAACTGGGAGGACTGGAGCCGCGTTGTGTTCACAAACTTTTCCAGAAGTTAGAAATTAGGGATTATGTTTGGCTGTTGTGACTTTGGCATTCAGTAAAATGGATCCTGTTTGCATTTCTGAGTGGATAAATAGCTGATTGAAAATCCCTGATGACTTAGTTTGTGATCCCCCTCAGATTTTCCAAGAGTGAAAGAATGCTGCATGGATGTGGCAGTGGATTTTGGCGTGGAAATAGGAGCTTAGTCTGGTATTTAGTTTATGTCCTAGTTATAAGTCTCGATCATGTAACTTTAAGGACCTGATGTGGCGGTGTGAGTCTCTTGTGCAATAGACTCTTTGTGGCTGTTCGAAAGCAGGGTGGATCTGTAGGAAGCCTGACTGATCAACTTCCTCCAAACATGTGGGTTGACAGTGCAAGAGGAATAAATAACATTCTTAGGGGCTTGTTTTCCTTTTGCTAGTTGTCCTCTTGGACTATCTAGGTAAAATGATTGAACAGTCGAATGCAGATTCACGAGGCAGAAAAGGCAGAGGCGAAGAACCCCAAGTGACAGCGGTGTGAATCTGGCGTGGATCCCTTGAAGTTGGCAGAGTGTGTCCTGATCCAGGTTAAATCAGAAAGTGTCCTTATTTCCCTGTAACTTTTCCTGTGGTTTAGAGAGTTACTGTAAAACTGCTAGAGCTCCCAGGAAGGGTTTAACAAGCAGATAGCTTGGGACTAGTACTTTATTTGAGTTGGTGGATGAATCTTGCTTGGACCTACCGTGGGTGCACCCAGCAGCTACCTGATTTCTTTAGAGGGTCCCCAGCTTCCGTGGGAAATACTGAGTGTCACCATCTCAGTCTGCTTAGACTTCACTGTGTAACCACAGTGGCGTAGTAGCAAAACTATTTGTTAAGCCAAAGTTGACGTTTCCACCCAGAATTCCTGATTTCCACTTCACACCTGAGGTTAAAGTGTCTTTTTGCTTGTACATTGATCACATGGGGATATTGAGTAGCTTTCAGCAGCCTTTAGATTACTCTGGATACAAAAGACATTAAAATCACATCGCCTCTTACATCACTTTCTGGCAGTTGGCTTTAGTTAACTTATTTTCAAAGCAGTGATTCTGGTTCATTCCTCTATATTAGATTCCTTTGTAACGTCATGTTCTGCTTTTCATGGGTAAATTCTCCATAGATTCTTTCTTTTGTATCTGCTGTGCTGTAGGTATTAATGCGTTAGTGCCTCTTCTTTGAAGAGGACAGTTGTAAACAACACTTGATCCTGAGGGAAGTGGATTTAGTTAGGTCCTACCTGAGTCTTCAGTGGACACTTACGTTTCTCTGACTCTCTGCTGATGGCGTTGTCAGATATAAGTACAGGTAGATGCAATTTACCGGCTTCTGATTGGAGCAGCATGGAGTTTACCTGCTTGTCGCATAGATATCAAGCAAATGAATTCACCCATTCTTATCTATACTGTCGCCCCACGGACTGCTGCTGAACAGGCAACGTGAACTGGCCTTGTCAGAGGGGCTGCTGGCTCTGCTTGTGGAGTTCTGGCAAGGGCAGGTCGAAAACAGCAGCAGATCTTGGGGACTTGGTCTGTGAAGCTGAGCAGGCATCTGTGCCTGGAAGTGCTACGGGCCCGGTAGCTTCTAATGAAGATGCAGAGGCAGAGCGTGTTGGAGGCGTGGAGCATTTTGAAATGTGCGTGTATCTCTGCTTCTCTGGTTCTAATTATTACTGGACATGTTTTCTGGAGTGTGTAAGGAATTACTTAACTGCAGTCTGGCTCTGCTGGTTTTTTTTGATTTTAATAGCTGTACAGCCTTCCAGTAATGGGTCTGTGCGTCTCCTGAGAGCTTCTGAAGCCGAGTAGCAGAAGTAACAGTTGTCCCAGGAAGGTAAATGCACAGATTGTGTTGTAGACACCCAGCAGCACAGTGTTCAGCAGCCAAGATCCTCTGTAGATAGAGATTGGTTTCCAAAAGAGAAAAAAAGAAATAATTCTCAGCTGCGTTGCGTCTTTAAACGCCCTTGGTCCCCTGTCCCTGTGCCTGACCTTGCGTGCTTGTCGCTGTGCCCCACGCTGATCCAAGGGGAGCGCGTTCAGCCAGGATTCCTTTGCTGCCCTTTATCTGCGGACAGGCCGTGTGGCAGCTGCTTTTCATTCCTGTGCTAAGCCCTGCCGGGTGATTCCTGGGGAGCTGGGGGAGGCCGAAGGGAAGGCAGCCCCTAGCCAGCTCCCGTTGCTGGAGCTGCACCACTCCGCCTGCCCTTTGTGGCTGGGGTAGAAGTCTGGCCTCCTGCAATCCCATCTGGACACTAGCAGCATCTGTGCATTTTCCCCAAGGTGACATTACGCAGCACTGAATGAAAGCGAAGCTGCAGCGAAGAGGACTTGAAAACCTGCCTGGTGGTTAGAACAAAGGGCTGGGGGTTGGTCCTCCCAAACTTTGTTCCCAAAGCAGTTTTGCAGTTCAGCAGTGTCCTGGGGGCTTGTGCCCAGATCCGGGGAGGCAATGTCAAAGCATGCTCTCTGCACAGTAGAGTCCGTAGGCTCCGGAGGGGGTTACACCCAGACCCTGTCTCGGTGGAACGGTTAGACTTTGGGGAGGAATGCAGAGGGAAAGGGCTGAGGTTTGACTCTCTTTAGTTAACCCACACTTCTTCCCCAAACAGCATTGACATAGTCAGCAGCTCTTCAACCTGCTGAGGGAAGATAAAAGGAAACAACGGCAGACGGCAGTGGAGGAGGAGGAGGAGGAGATTGGTTCTCGTGCCCTCTCTGTGCTCCAGTTCTGCCATTTGAAATACAGGGCTCTGTCTGTCTGAAACACATTTCCCCCCCGCTCTGCCCTGGCCAGCCCCCTCCCTCAAATTATCGCGGACTGTGCAGCTTTGTAGGGCTTCTCTCAGCCAAGTGCTCTGGCTGGTGATCCAGCAGAAGGGAGAGCCCTGACGCAGCCAGCTCAGGCTCCCGGCTGATTCAGCGTGGTGGTGGGCCGGGTGCCAGAGCCGAGCCTCAGATCCTCCATGTTCATGTGCCCTCACATACCCCTTTCTGCTCTGCACAAACTGCCCTGTGGATACCCAGCCAGGAAACCAGAGCTTGCAGAGAGAAAGGGCTTTTGGGAAGACTGCAGTGAGAACTGGGAAATCCTTACCTCCTGCTGTGGCTGGCAATGGGCATTTTATCTGAAGGTGACCTCTTTTTTTGGGGAGCTTGCTCATTGTGGCTGCCCATTGAGCCCAGCCACAGTGCAAAAACAAGTTCCTGGGTCTCAGCACTCTGAAGGTATCCTGCTGCTGTCAGCAGGACACTTGCACCCCCAAAATTCGCTGCTTTTGTGGCCGAGTACTATTGTGCCCATGGTCCACAGAACCAAATGGTTCTGCTGCTCTGGTCCTTTGTGATTTCTTGCAAGGCGTTTTTTGGTTTGGTTTTTGGATGAAGAGGGACCACAGAGTGCCTGGGTGCAGAGCACAGTATTTGAAATGATTATCCTCTCTGTGTCCGAGTGCAGAGAGGCTCCTTTCTCTGACAAGTAAATGAATATCCCTGCAAAGAGAAGCTGCAGTGAGTGAGGAGCTGTGGGCTGGGGAACAGCACATGGACTTTCCAGAGATGCCCTTGACTGAATTCCATCCAGGAGCACCAAGGCAAATGCAATTAATGAGGGCCGAGCTCAGCTTCCCCGGCACATTCCAGCTGCTGCCTTAAGTGGCTATAAGACTTTATCCTAAACCTCAGACCTAGTCGCTGTTTGCATCCCTAAAGTGCTTTGAACTCGGACTCACCCACCAAATCTCTCTCTTAAAACTCTATACTTGCGTCTAGGTTTGAATGCTGCTCTTTTGTCACACACCTCGCTTTGGAACTGAGAACAGGATAGAAACATTAGCATGAATTTGGGGAACGGTAACTCTAAAAGCTTCTGTCTTCAGAGAAGATGTAAGGTTTATTCTCACTGGTGATGCAGCGAAGGGTGGGGGCAGGTGAGCAGGATAAGTGATTCAGCCAACTAAATGGGCATGTCAGAGGCAGGCAGACAAGATTGTGAGGCGAGACTCACTGAGAACAAAAAAATAAAGAGGATCTCAGTGGGAAAAACCTTCCGGATTGCACAGAAAATCGGAGAAGCACAAGGACAAATGTAGCTGTGCAATCAGAAAGAGAGCCCTCCCCACACCCGGTGTAGAAGCTATTGAGCAAAGATATCTCTGGATGCAATAAAAGATCTAAAGCCAACAATAAAACCCTGATTTCTTCCTCTCCCTTTCGAAGCAGTCTGGCAGGAGGGCAGTGTTTTAGCAGTTGCCCTAAGGTTTAGGAACCTGCTGAAGAGAGCCTGTAACTGTCAAACAGGATTTTTCCCAAAGAGGTGCTATTTGCATTGGGAATACCCTGAGAAAGTAAAAGCGATGAAGTACGGTTTCTCTGAGGAGACCGTGCGGTGTAAGGACCCCAGCGGGCAGCTGAAGCTGGCGTGGGGCAGAGAGAGAAGAGAGCGAGCCTGCGGTGGGACACTGGAGCTGCCACAGTGCTGTGGAAGTTCAGACGTAGAAATGAACGTTTTGCTGAAGAGCTCTTTCAAAGGTTGGCTGTCCCTTCCTCCAGCCTGGGCTGTTCCCTAAAATGGGAGATGTTTAGAGGGTTGTACACCGTGACCTTGTGGCGGGAGGCTGGAGGGTGCTGTGGGGAGCATGCCTTGTTCCCAGCTCTGACTCCTGTGGCTTAAACCAAAAATCTCTTCACCTTTT